CCCAGGACCTGATATTTTGATATGTGGGAGTTGTAAAGATCAGTTTGTCGAATTGTTGGATTTACAAGAACATAAAAATCAAGGCTGCCAATTGAAAGCTGCATGTCGTTGTTTTGCTTCTAAAGAAGCAGAGCAAAATGACTCGGGTAAGGAGGCTCCTCTACTTTTACGTTATCTCTTGTTTCACACACTAGAATCTCAGTAGCATCACCAAAGTTACGATTTCTGGTGAAATATCAGTTGGGAAACAACACAAGAAATCTGGGGGATGTTTGTATATTTCATAATGCTGGTTACCAAATATTGTTAATTGCATTAGTTTCATAGTAGACACATTTCTGAGAGCCATTGAAAATATATTTGTGGGAGTTTTGTAAATGTTATAATGCCATCAAATAGTGAAAATTCGTAGTGGCAAAAAATTAAGCGGATTACTGTAGCTGCTCAGTTTGAAAAGTCACAAACTAACATCAATAGTTTTAAAGCGAGGGAGTTGTCGCATGCGTTAGATGACCTTAGCGTGTCATTGTTTACAAACAAGCGTCTACCCATGAGCCTTTGCGTTTATAGTGTGTGTTATCGTCACTTAGGACTCAATTTCCGTGCGTGCGCAAGTGGCGATCCTCTCGCTTTAAACCACGTACATCAAAAAAACATTAAATTATAATACTGTATTTTTTTTTGACGCAGGCAACCCTGAGCCAACCGCATGGGTGTGTAATACTTGCAAAGAATGTTTCTCTTCTTGTTGGATATTGATGTCTCATGTACAGAACAAACACGACTTACAAATATACGTAGAAAACCCATCGGTACAAGATTCTAAAGATCAAAAAGAGAAGCAGAATGATGCAGAGAGTAACCAAGGAGATAACAATAAAACTGCTGAGAATGAAACCCAAGAAGAAAAGCAAAACGGACAAGATTCACAGGTATGTGGGTGATGTTTGTTTACTCAACAGCTATTTCTATTTTTTACAAGCGGAAACAATCATCAGAGCCTGTAATACAGAAAAAATAGTACCGTTCAAATCCTATTATAAACCGCGGTTTATATTACAATGTATCAATTTAAAAATTGGGATCAACAGCTCAAGTTCGGGGTGCGGTTTCTATTACATACATATTGCAATCACTAAATGGCCGTGGTCATTTTTTCCCACATCACTTGCACAAAACAAACAATACACCGTACAATCTTTTGAATATAAGCGTAACTCCAATTTAGATGTCAGGGAAGAGTGACAAGCGTCACATCACAAAAAAACTGTTCACATGAAAAAAAAATACTCAGTATATTTAATGTAATGTGCATTTCTTTTATTTTCTTCGTTAACGGAAAGTATATTCTGACAGGAGTTTCAAATAAAAACAAAAATTAATGCATTGCTTAGTAGAAAATGATCATGGTAAGGCACTAAAAAAGTACGGTACCGTGGGTATGGTAACGCAATCTGGCCATGCTTCGGCTCACAAGTGAATAACTTACTTGTTTTCAAAGTGTTGAAATTGTTGATTATAATATGATTATAATAACGCACAAAAAATAAATTCGTTGAATAGTTATCAAATGCAAGTAAAATTCAACTTAGTTTCACCGTAAGCGAATTATTTCGATCACATGTAAACGATCGATGCGAAACGACATCCGTCATGTAGTTTGAATGCACAGGAGACGTTACTTGACCGGATGGGTCAAGTCACTAATTAACCAATCAAAATGCTGGATGGTGCCTACGTGTTCAAATTACCTTAGTTCATTTAAATATGTTAATGACAGGTCACCGACTTCATGGTGAACGAAACACGGAAGCCATTTACCGATAATGTAGTGCAATCTTTTGGCTTTGATTTCCATGGGAAAACGACATGACTTTTTTTTTAAATCAAGAAATTAGTTGTTTTCGAAAGATAAACTGAGCATTGAAAAAGAATTAAACAGTTTTTCGGTGATAACAGCTCATTGTCGAAAACTTGCGACACAC